GTATACGCCAGTCAGGCCATCTTAGATGATTTCTTAGGCACTGTAAGACAGCGAGGACACATTAGATGGCCTCTTAGGCTGTATACGCCAGTCAGGCCATCTTAGATGATTTCTTAGGCACTGTAAGACAGCGAGGACACATTAGATGGCCTCTTAGGCTGTATACGCCAGTCAGGCCATCTTAGATGATTTCTTAGGCACTGTAAGACAGCGAGGACACATTAGATGGCCTCTTAGGCTGTATACGCCAGTCAGGCCATCTTAGATGATTTCTTAGGCACTGTAAGACAGCGAGGACACATTAGATGGCCTCTTAGGAAACATGAAAAATTTTAACTTGTTTAAAAGAATTTAATCAATGCAAATTTTTAAATTGTTTTTCAAATTTTGGATCATGAAGAAGAAAGCTCGCACATGCAAGTAGTCGAGATAAGTGCTTGGAGCTTAGCATATTAAACTTTCATATCAACATTATGACAATAATGAAGGTAAATTATATTTATCAATAGTTACAAAGCAGTTTACATTGTATTCTGATGTTTCTTGATTTGAAGTCAAGAATTTCAAACGAAATGCAGACAATGAGAAGGATATTGCTGGACGATCTCATGATTTTTCAGTCAACTGTCTGAGAAATTGGCTAACGGAAACCCATCAATCAAATTTCGCTAACATTTTAAAATTTTTGATTTCGTCTAGTACGTTATGATAAAATCCTTTCCCATACATAAGGCAGCCATGAAGCAATTTTAGAACTGGATCATGCTCCAAACCAGCAATGGTACCACTCAAGTGCTTCATTATTATTGATCATGACTGCAAATATTTTGTTTAGAGTTGTGTGATCCGTGCAATTTGTTGCTATTTTTGTTAGTACCATAAAAATATAATCAGAAGTGACTTATAGATTATCTTATGCATTTTGCAGATAATTATTATGATGTCGTATTGATATGTAGGACAGTGGGACATGATAAGCATTAAGCATTCAGCATTAAGTCTTGTGGATAGCTTTCCACATAAGTTATGTGAGCCAGAAAATTTCATAGACAATAAAGACAAGTTTATGCCGTATGGAATAGTGGGCAGAATTTTAAAGGCATTCGTGACAGTCTTGTAGGAGGGAAAACGCTTGTTACTTTCATATGAAATCATTCCCAGCTGACGTCCTTCTTGAGTGGTACGCTGTTAAAGAACTACCATTATAAACCAACAATGACGCACGGCTGTGCCATCACTACTCACATCTTCTCATCTTGAGTGGTACGCTGTTAAGAACTACCTTTATAAACCAACATTGAAGCTCGGCTGGGCCACCACTACTCACATCTTGAGTGTTACTCCATTAACGAACTACCTTTATAAACCAACAATGAAGCTCGGCTGTGTCACTACCACTTCTCACATCTTGAGTGGTACGCTGTTAAAGAACTACCTTTATAAACCAACAATGAAGCTCGGCTGTGTCACTACCACTTCTCACATCTTGAGTGGTACGCTGTTAAAGAACTACCTTTATAAACCAACAATGAAGCTCGGCTGTGTCACTACCACTTCTCACATCTTGAGTGTTACTCCGTTAACGAACTACTTTTATAAACCAACAATGAAGCTCGGCTGGGCCACCACTACTCACATCTTGAGTGATACACTGTTAAGAACTACCTTTATAAACCAACATTGAAGCTCGGCTGGGCCACCACTACTAACATCTTGAGTGTTACTCCAGTAATGAACTACCTTTATAAACCAGCAATGAAGCTCGACTGTAGAACTACTCACATTTGGTTCATCGACCGTCGATGAGGAGTTGCGACGCCGAGGCGATGGCGACCTGCAATAATTTAATTGTCACCATAGAGCATCAGGCAGTTCTTTGGTCGCTCGCGATTGCATCTGATTATGACGGTCTGAAATGAACGCAAAACTGTGGCCTACTCAGCGTACGAGACACTTGAGTGAATGATAAGGATATTGAAATCAATGAAAATTAACACTGTAAATATTATGCGCTATAATGGCTCCATCAAATGAGGAGTTTGACACCTTGAAAGAAAATTCATCATCATTATCTGTAAAATAATTCATATGATACCAATCAATTATCAGGGAATCTCAAAATAAAACTATTAAAATGGGGATCTCATATGTAAGTTGCAAAGAATTATAATAAAATTTAATAATATAACAAACAGTACCTTAGGGGCTGATCAGAGTAGTGGGGAGAGGGGGATGGGGACCGATGAGAGACGGACTTGGGGCTGCGGTGCAGAGGTCTGCGTCCCGTATTGCCCCCTGGCGAGTATTGGGAGGACGCCTGACGGTGGTGCTGATGTCGAGAGTGGTGATGTGAGGAACCACTGCGATGACCTGTGGGTGTAATCGTGTTTGAAATTGAAATTTTATAACGAACAACCAACTACGGCATTCAACTACGGGAACAACCAACTACGGCATAGAGCCGACAAGCGGCTATAACCGACTGTATGCTGCTCTAAACTGTCATATGCAGTTCTACACTACAACACACGGCTATAACTGACAACACGCGAATCTAAACTACCAACGCGCATCCCTAAACTACCGTAACTCGTATCCAAACTGCCAACGTGCTGCTCTTAACTGCCAACACGCAGCTCTAAACTGCTGACCCACAGCCTAAGCTGTCAACACTCGGATCCAAAGTACCGACATGTGAATCCTAATTGCCCACATGCGGCTCTAAATTGCCGAGAATCGGCCCTAACTGCCGACAAGCGTCAATGAGCTGCCAACGCACTATTTCAAACTATTAACATTGGGTCTAAACCATATCAATAGGATATAAATAGCTGTCTTTAGATAGAATCGATTGTATTGTAATCAAAATAAATGTATTTGAATAAAGTAGATGTTGGAATCACCAACGATTGAATTATTAAAGTAGTGGATTAAAAACTCTCAGCAAAAAGAAAAATCTAGCCCTATTTCATGGTTTTAACCTTTAAAAAATTAAAATCATTTCCATAACTAGGACAATTTTAATTGGACATAATGAACAAGATTGCATTGTTAACTATACCTGCTAATGATTCCTCATCACAAAAACGATAGTCACGCACATACGTAGAGTTTCGACACCTAATTGGTTTAAATTAAATTTTGAATCGCATGGATTTAAAACAGCACTGTCAGTCGAGCTCGTAGTCTGTGGATCGGCACAAATTTGGATGACAACGTTCACCTAATTTATTGATTTCAGTAAGCCAACAAAATGTTGACTTAATTGTGGTTTGCGTGGATTTAATTGAGTTACATTGTACAATATTAAGCTAAAGCCACCCATTAAATATGATCAACAGAACAAGCCTCACACTAGACCGGCAGTAAGCCCATAAAATATTGATTTAATTGTGGTTTGCGTGAATTTAATTGAGTTACACTGTATGATATTAAGTTAAAGCCACCCATTAAATATGATCAACAGAACAAGCCTGACACTAGACCGGCAGTAAGCCCATAAAATATTGATTTAATTGTGGTTTGCGTGGATTTATTCAAGTTACACTGTATAATATTAAGCTAAAGCCACCCATTAAATATGATCAATAGAACAAGCCTGATACGAGACCGGCAGTAAGCCCATAACATGTTGATTTAATTGCGGTTTGCGTGGATATAATTGAGTTACACTGTATAATATTAAGCTACAGCCACCCATTAAAAGGATAGAGTTTGGCAGGGTTGAAGCAAATACATAATTTCATTGCTTAAATATGATCAACAGAACAAGCCTGATACGAGACCGGGCGAGGAGGTCTGTTTGGCGCGGGGGGCGGGGCTGGGGTCGTCGGTCCCTTCGTTCTCGGAGCTGCCGAGGCTGAAGCTCTCGTGCCCCAGCGGGGCAGCGGCTCGCTCCCGCGCCCCGTTCAGGTATCTGCAGTAAGTTTAAGTACCACTTAATACCCAAACATTGCCTCGCATTCAAATATAACTACAAGAAACTTAATGGAACCACGCTGCATTTGTATTATTTTCATTTGAATTCGTGTCAAAATCATTTCATCTAAGTTCAGGTATCTGCAGTAAGTTCAAGTACCACTTAGTACCCAAACTTTGACTAGCATTCAAATAAAACTATACGAAATTTAATGGAACCGCGCTAAATTTGTATACGCCCCGTTCAGGTATCCGCAGTAAGTTTAAGTACCACTTAATACCCAGACTTTGACTCGCATTCAAATGAAACTATACGAAACTTAATGGAAACACGCTAAATTTGTATACTCCCCGTTCAGGTATCTGCAGTAAGATCAAGTACCACTTAATACCCAGACTTTGCCTCGCGTTCAAATGAAACTATACGAAATTTAATGGAACCACGCTACATTTGTATTATTTTCATTTGAATTCGTGTCAAAATCATTTCATCTAAGTTCAGGTATCTGCCGTAAGATCAAGTACCACTTATAATACCCAAACTTTGCCTCGCATTAAAATAAAACTATACGAAATTTAATGGAACCACGCTACATTTGTATACGCCCCGTTCAGGTATCTGCAGTAAGATCAAGTACCACTTAATATCCAAACTTTGACTCGCATTCAAATAATATTATGTAAAATTTAATGGAACCACGCTACATTTTTATATATATTATTGAATATCTTTGCATATCTTTAGAGAGAGAGCATTCGTCATCCTTTTTAAAATCATTTTCATAACTAGGACAATTTCTTCTGGACATAATGAACAAGATTGTATTGTTACAGCAAGATTAAGTACCATTTAATACCCAAACTTGTCTCGCATTCAAATAATATTATACGAAACTTAATGGAACAATTAAGTTTATACATCGTTGATGTTTGTTTTTAGTTTATCACATTATACGAAACTTAATGGAACCACATTTCTAAACAGAATATTTGAATACGGTTGCCAATGCCAGCATATGTTTTGATATAACATTCGTAACCTAGAGCAGAGCAGTAGCTTGGTTTTGAGGACAAGGCTGAGCCCAGTAAGAGAAATGATCATATTTAAGTTAACAATGACTGGTTGTGGGATTATTCATTTGAACTCATAATCAAGTAACATAAATCAAGTTCGTATGCATTTTTTATTTATGCATAAAAATAAGTTTAATAAATAAACATTTTACATAGGGAGGCTTAAGAATATTTTGCGAGGGGTGAAGCCACAATTCTACGCAGGAAGAAAAGCGACACTATAAGGTTTCACGAAAATTGTCATCATTGATAAAATTTCATGCACTTCGTCGCATGGTAATATAGTTAATAATCAGATAAAAATAACCTATGAAAAACTTGCCAACACCGGAAACACTGTAGGCAAAAGATCCACATAGGCATAGCAGTACGTTTTTTCGGATTATAAACTAACTGGACGGTTTTCAATTAATACGAAACTTTTCGAATAAGATTTCCTTTTACATTTTCTTATCTCAGCAATCATTTTGCATATTCACTACATCTGATAACCTAGAGGTTCTATAAGTTATATTTCGTATTTTCGGTCAACCCGTAGGTGTCTTACCGAAAAGCAGTACTGTAGATGATATTTTTGTATGATAATAAATTATAAAATATGGTTAGAAGTTTTGCCGAAATATCATCACAGTAGATGACATTTTTGGATGATAATAGATTATAAAATATGGTTAGAAGTTTTGCCCGAAATAGTATCACTGTAGATGATATTTTTGAATGATGACATATTATGACCCTGGTAGAAGTCTTGCACAAATAGCAGGAATTTATAAAGGCCTCATGATATATCATTACTATGCTAATTACGATATTGCAAGGAAGTGCAATGCATTGAATGCTGCGCTCCAAGCGATAATATCAATGCAATAAAATAATAATGATCAGTGCTCCTTGCTCCTCATCCTCACCATCGTTCTCGCAAGCTTGACGGAATAGAAGTATTCGCGAATTCCAGTTATTAAAGAATAAAACTTTGGATTCAGTTTTCACGTAAAAAAATACTGCATCGAATTCTACCCCGTGTCGCCTGGGATTGTCCTGCCATCGACTCACCAGAAGAAGCTGCTGACAATGGATTGGTCTTCCCGACCCTATTGAAAATCTTGTAGGAATATTTGTCGGCCTACCATCAGCCGGCCGGTGGCCACCGATCTCTCGCCCATGATACTTAATGTAAAAAATGCGGTGAAAAACACTCCTCGCGGCAGGTCTAGGGTGGGCGTAAGTCTACGGCACCTGAGCGCCACATTCGGGACGTCTTGGTACATTGCTGGGCTCTGTCCTTGTGTTGTGGCTCCGCTAGTAGCTCAGGCCGAAATGTACTCTTCAATTGCAACAAGAAAGAAAGTCTCGGCTGCCAAGAACCAGTAATAAGAATTCTTTCTTTTAGGATCGCTCAAAAAAGTGTAGATAGATTACAAGGAAAAATTCTGCATCAATGGAATGTGTGGAAAATTTGCGTCTAGAAAGAATCGTAAAAAGTTCTGGTTTACTTGCATACAGCAACTTGATTCTATTCACTGTAGTTTGAATTTTAAAAGTTTTATTAATTTGAAAAATTTTGGATGCTCACAACGAGATGGAAGTCTCAGAATTAAAAAAATTATCGTCGCTTTAAAAATTATCTATCAGTTCAATCACAACGATGCCCACACTCATTGATGCAACACTAAACTCCTCTAATTAAAAAATTGTTCAGTTTTGCACGCGATGTTGGCACTTAATTTGATTTTTATTCACATGAATTATTTTTTGAGGCCATGCCATCAAATATTCGATTAGGTCGCATGTACCATCGAGCCCTGCGCGGATCTAGTGCTCAATGAAAAAAACTCAATGGACTGACAACGTAGCGATAATTAAATCTGTCATGTATTAGGAAAACGGTAAATATTGCTACTATTATGCGTTGAGGTGAGGCTTTCCCTAGTGAGGCTTATCCTGTGAGGCTTACCCCAATGAGGCTTATCCTGTGAGGCTTACCCCAGAGAGGCTTACCCTAGTGAGGCTTACCCCAGTGAGGCTTACCCCAGAGAGGCTTACCCCAGAGAGGCTTACCCTAGTGAGGCTTACCCCAGAGAGGCTTACCCCAGAGAGGCTTACCCCAGAGAGGCAAGTGAGGCTTACCCCAGTGAGGCTTACCCCAGTCGAGATCAATCCATTGAGGGCTCGTTCCGTAAACTTTATCTTCTTAGAGACACGCATCGAAAACATGAAACGTACAACGAAAAACGTAAAATTTAATAACTAAGGGAAACTGAAAGAAACAGAAATTGAAATAAGCATTAATATAATAGGCATGTTACTCAATCTTTTAATTAATCTTGAATATAATAAATTACAATGAAACCACAAATTAAGCAAAACTCTTTAAAATATCACTTCACTGCGGCGCCAGAGGTAATATTGTCAACTAATGAAGAAGAAAATTATTGTAAATTTAATAAAGGAAATTACCTGATGAGGTCCGGGCTGTGGAGGGGGCCCGCCAAGGAAGAGGACCTCTGCCTGGGGGCTCTCAGGAACTGGTCAGGCGGAGGGTCGTGCCCCATGAGGGGCACCGTCAGGAGGGAAGACCTCCTCATGAGGCCGCTGGTGCTCGAACCTGCGTGGGACGCGTCCCTTTCTTCTATGGAGGCTCCCTTCGAACCGCCCGTGACATTGTCGTATCGAATGGAGGCTCCCTTCGAACCGCCCGTGACATTGTCGTATCGAAACCGTGAAGATGATTCTCGAGGAGATAGGGGTGAAGGGGATGTACCCCTAGGGGAGACCGGACACTGAGACGTGCCCATGAGAGAATTAGGGGAAGGAGATGCCCCTCTAGGAGACATCGGTAAGGCTCCTGTACCCCGATTAGTGGAAGGAGGGAGAGGGGAAGTTGATGCACGATTTAGTAGGGGCGAACCTGGACATCTGCGATGAGGTGATGATGGGGATCGGGGTTGAGGGGATGTTGGTGTTCTAGGTAGAGGTGACGTTGGGGTTCTGGCGAAGTAGTTTCTGCCCCGAGGCAGCACTCTGGTGCGTGGGGTTAGCGTTGGGGAGTTGTGGTCGCCGAAGACGTCGTCAGACGTGACCGTAAGTCGGAGCGTCACGACGCTGTGGCGGCGTGGGCGCGTCGCCATCGCTGGACACGTCGTCCTGCGCGGTGGCCAAGGCTTCTCACTCGGCAAGGATTTTCAACAAAAAAATGCACTTCGTAAATTGAATTCAAGTCCCCGTTTAAATAATCTGTATCCCATTTAATTCAAGCTTCATAAAGGCTACTCGCACAATTCAAGTTTGTTATAGAAATAATTTATTCACTTTGCCAGCATTAGAGGTTGTCATAGCACCCAAGTTTACACGTAACTAGAATGTCCCTCGCGCAATAATAACTTCAACTACTTCAGAGGATAGAAGGTGCAAAACGTTGCAGGTCCGTGACTGGTTAAATCATACGGGATGATGCCATTGTGACGTAGAAAAGTTAAGCCAGTCAAACTCTGGAGCGAGATGGCCGGATACTGCAGAAGAAATGGATTTCATTCAAGCAAAGTCAGAATTAGCACAGGTTAAGTTATCATATATAATGTATAAAAATTGCTTGACATACTCGGTAAAACATTGAACAATTTTGTGGGAAGAATAATCAGTGGAAATCATCAGTATGAGGGGTTGGAAGGTTGTACGAGAAAAATAGACAGGATAGTAAAAGCTAGGTTTAACTTCTTTACAAATTGGGATATAGACTTAAGACATCAGTATGAGGGGTTGGAAGGTTGTACAAGAAAAATAGACAGGATAGTAAAAGCTAGGTTTAACTTCTTTACAAATTGGGATATAGACTTAAGTTTTAGCATTATTTAAATGATCCTTGCAAAGACTGTTGAAAAATACTACACATTTAGAGCAAAGAACATTAATAAATTGGTAGAATTGATATAAATCGTTTTTAAATCTAAGCTTTAAGTTTGAATTTAATGATCAGGCTAAAAACTTTGCAGAGTACAGCATTCGGTCAAAAACTTATTACCGACTACCCGGAACTTCGATCAATTTAAGATGAAAGTTTGCATGTGGTTTGTCTCATGTTGCCGAAGTATCGAAAACTTGNTCGAAAACTTGCATCTAATAGCAGTTTAAGAAAGTCACTGTAGGTTCAAGGCGAGATTTTTCGCTTGAGACGTTTAAGAGGTCGGCGAAAATTACAAACTACAGAAACATTCAATAAACACGAAAATAATTCTATGTTCAGAAGTATATATAGTTATATGTATATATATAGCTTCCTAAAATACAGCTGGAAAGAAAGACAAAGTTCCAAGTTTGTGATCCAAACGTACATCGCAACCCAAAAGTCTCGTAACTTTTCGGGTAGCGTAAATTTTTACTGGAAAGCCCACCTAAGCTTTTCTTTCTGAGTCATGCAAGTATTGCACCTCTGACGATGCATAACTTTTCTTTGAGAATTTTTGACGCGAGACCAGAGGACAATACGGAGGAATGAATTTAGCCTTCGAACTTAGCCGTAAAATACTGTGAATTATTTCATAAATTTCACGATGTAAAGAACTCAATAATAGTTACGAACTTAAATATAAAATATTTCAAATTTTTGTATCAATTCAATGAACTTCGTCTAGCAAATATTGCGTTAATTTTATGAGATTCTGAACGAACTTCTACAATCATTTAGATTTTTGGCTAAGTATGGAAAACAACTTTGGCCAAAACTTGCTTCTTCCAACTTTTTAGGCTAAATCCATTCGGTCCGCAATATTTTGGGCGGAATCTTTTGTTTTGGTTTGGTTTGAGATGTAAGTTGACTGAGGAGCTATCGGCTGCAGACGTGTTGTTCGATTCGTAGTTATCTCTCCAGTGATCACATATACGCGGAGTGTAATAAATGAACGATATTATTTGGCCACATAGCGATAAATTAGCTGATGAATAATATTGAGTCTGGTCACAGACTAGATGCTTCACAAATGGCCATCTGCCAAAAAATTAAAAAAAAAGCTGAGTTTTGAAAACGATTCAGAAAACGCGACCTCGAAACATGGCTCATCAGTGTCATGGTGTGAAATTTTCATCTACCAATTGTTCCGTAAAAAAAACAAAAATTCGCCATCTATAAGTTTGGGAATAAACTATGCGAAAGATTGTGATAGGATGCTTCTAATACAGTATATCATTTAAATTTTGAGTCAACCCTGACGAGACCTCGCGTAGCCATGCTCTGCATTTGTCGTTCGTTTCTCCACCTCAGAGATGCCCAGGCTGGACCATTTGGCCCTATGAATCCTTGTTTCCAAATGACGAGATTAGTGCTAGGTAAGGGTTACTAACCGGTAGACTAATCAGATGCACAATTTAACGCTCATAAGACACAATTATTTTGCCTAATAGCCTTATTTATTACAGACTGGCTTGCCAGACGGGGGAGCCTTTTGAGCCGTGAGGTGTATGGAGGACGACTCCACTTCCTCAAGAAGCAGACAAAACAACAACAACACCTCACAGACATACGCGGCTTATGCGCGTCATGCCGATCATTCAAGTGTCTAATTTGTGGTAATAGTTGCGAATGTGAATAATATATTTATGATTGCACTTTGTTTACATGTTTTGTGCGTTGGTTTCATATTCTGCTGTTAAATTATTACTAGTCATACATTCGTGTATTCATAAGGTATACTGTATATGGTATATGGTTTGTGGTATATGTATATGGTATTAGTACATGGTATATGGTATATGGTATATGATATATGGTATTCGCACAAAGTCTACTATAAGACTGATTCGAAGCTGAGAAGATACAGGCTGCTTATTAAAGATTTAGCCAGGAGAACACACGGTTAATATTTTATTTGTGTTTTTATTTGACATTTGTTTTATTATATCATTTTTTATTTATGCTTATTAATTCTGCTAGTAGCAGTTGAATGATTGGGTGACCTTACCATCACCGTACAATGTCTGGCTCACCGATGGCAATTTGTTTTCATATTTATATATTGAATAGTTCATGGGTTTGGATCTAATTGGCGCCGTGACCAAGATTAAAACCTTGTCAACACAACCCATCCCTTTGGATACAAAGATAGTAATCTTCATCGATGCTAGTCAAACCTTTATGCCTGCGCTGTTACGAGAGTTACGCAAAAAGTGTCGAGAGTCGGCAAAATGTTAGCCCCATGCCTGAGACCCGAAGCTGGTTAACACCGAGCTTTATGTTGGGTTTTCTGTTAAGCATTTGTTTCTCATGATTTCTTAGTGAGTTTTCCTTTAGGGCTAAAGTTATATATTGTTTCAATGCCTGTTAGAGACAAATGTTGGTAATTTTAAATGGTTTGTTTTGACTTTTCTTATGAAATTAACAAGAGTCGACATATGAGCTATATACTTCAGCTATATACTTGCTGAATGTGACGTGAAGTTCTAGCTAATGGCCGGCTATTCGTCATCTGCCCTGTTTCTATGTTATTTATTATTATCTATGTCATCGATCATCAGTGTACGCACCCATAATGTATGCGGTAACAGCAGACGATGAAACGCAACAAGCCTGATACCAATTTGTACGGTCATTACTAGTGGCAGGGAGTGACTTGTTCAAATGATAGTGAAAGGATGATAAAATTCGTGTTAAAACTATTCAATAGTTGGTGGAAGGCAGCCATTAAACCTAAGGTCCCATCTCTGCATGCTAGAGGCAGGCAACAGGCCCTATAACAACCTAAGCACTGTAATAGAACGTAAGCTCCATGACCTTATAAGCCAACGCAATTATGGCACGGAAGCCCGTAACAAATAATTGTTCTAAAAGGTAAGTCTGAATATTTTCGTGCAGTGAATTTCTAGGAAGTTTCCAATTCGGTTCAGGTGAGAATTCATGAACTGACTTTCCCTGAATGAGTTCATGTGCCGTTATCAAAAAAGCGAAGAATTTTATAATATGACGTTCGAAGTTGTCAACCGTTCTCGGTTACGACTTCTGCCCACATCTCCTATATGGGAGAGAATTGCGTTTAGCAGACAAAATATTCACTCAAACGGCATTGATGCTCATCTTTAACAAGTGCCGTTCCTTGTGAACTTCAAGAACTTCTTCACAGGATTGAAAATCGTCTTGTCAGTTGCAATATTGCATCTCAGCAAACCCCGGTCCCGATGCTTAGGCTTCTTATAGCGACTGAAATTCCCCTCGCCAAGCCAGTCTCCTAACTAATGAGACTCCGACTTAGAGTCTCGGGTAATTAAAGTCAAGAAGGAGCATAAAGGAACATGGAATAGCCACCCAATCTGGAGAACCTCCGCGGCAATTGATTCTTTCGTCAGCCTGCACTGTCAATGGAGAACAAAACAACGTTTCTAGAAGAGCATTGCAGGAAGTAAATAAATGGGAAGTTCGAACATTTTGACTTCGAAGAAATTAGTAAGAAACAAAATTAAATAACCCAGAATAATCGATGGGATTTCAACGGTTGGGACTGAAACAGATTATCAGCCTGAATGCAAAGATATAATTTTCAAATAATGTATTAATTAATTTCATAATTTTTTATGCGTCCTGACAACCTTTTTCCTTTTTCTCCTTAATGACTTAACAAACCATAACAGGTTTCAACCAGATGTCATTGCCAGCAAACCGGAGAGCTTATTACTCTTGATTACATTTAATTCCGTCATCTGGCTTTAATATCAACTCGAAATGGTCACTTGTACCAAATTTTGAATTTTGAAGCCAATTCTTCTCGACAAGATAATTTAATTTTGCCGAAGTATAACTGTGTTCTGTCAGCGGTTCATTTGACTGATGTGGTAAATTGCTTCGGTTCGCATCCGGCCGACGGCTGGCAAGAGCGGCGATGTCCGCGGTGCTGCGGATATCTTGCTTGATGGCTGCACGGAATGGCAACAAGTCGCTGAAATGCGCATTTTTGTCCTCTCCTAAAGTAACAAGTATGCCAAATGTATTGCAAAGGCCATTGGTTCTAATAATAATTAATTTATTTAGCACTTATTGACTGCAATTTCTAGCAATCTTGTTTTGATTCAGTTGTTATTTTAGAAGGACAGGTTTGATGCTCATGAGAAATTTCATCAACTTCTTCATTTGCAGAACTTGTGACGAGTT